TCCCTGGTCCGCGCAGCCTGCGCCAGGCCAGGCTGGCTGTGGAGCTGCCCAGTCTGCTCCCTGATTTCCAAGGGTATTTTTACCCTTCCTGCTGGGTGTTGCCCTGCTCCAGCCTGTGCTGTGCTGGGGTCTCTGCACCAGGGGGGGCTTCACCAGGCCTCCCCCCCAGGCAGGGGCCACGCTCCTGCCACGAGTATTCCAGGAGAGGAAGGTGGGTGCTGAAGGTGACTTTGTCTGAACCAGGTACCTCCGTGTCCTCTTTTGTTTCCCAAAGGACTCTTCATTTGCAGAGGATGTGGAGCTGCCTGGCTCCCTGTGGGACGTGCGGGCTGGAGGATGGGAGCAGCACGGGCCCAGGGGGCTGCAGCAAGATTTAGGAGAGCATGGGGCTCTAAGATGGAGGAGCAGCAGCTCTCCCACCACCCCCGTCCCCCCCACAGGTCCCCCTCTTCCCCGGGTGCTGCGGCGGGGGGTGATGGTTGGCACAAGCAGAGGGGGATGACGTGCTGGTCGGCCTTGGCTGGGAGGGGATCGAGCATCCTTTAAAGAAAATTATACATAATCATCTTGCAGCCTTCGCTTCCACTCAAACCTCTGAGTCATAACTGAAGAGCCCTGGAGCGTGACGTTCCTGCTGGAAGGAAATTGCCTCTGCTGGATCCGGTGGGGGGGAGCTGGGGAGCTGGGAACCTGACAAATCCCCTCGCCAGCCTCACGTCTGGCTGGCTGGCACTGTCCCCTCCTGGGACAGGGGGGCCCTTTGTCACCCCCCAGTTGAGTGGAGGTGACCCCAGCCCTGCCCAGCCATGGCAGTTGGGCAGATGCCTCTGGAAATGGCTCCTTATCTGCTGTGCTGAGTCACACCAAGCTGGCCCATAGAGGAGGGGAGCGGGGCTGATCTGGAGCCATCCTCCCATCTGGGTGTCCCTGTTAGGGGACAGTGGCACATCTGAGCTGCTGCATCACTGCCTGGCAGTGCCCCCAGCCGTGTCTGGGCTGCAGGGGGTGAAACAGACCCTCCCTGGGCTGCAGGGGGTGAAACAGACCCTCCCTGGGCTGCAGAAGCAGCCAGGTGTTCACAGGATGGCTGTTCTCAAGCCCTGGACCTGCCAGGCCCTCGGTTCTCCCTCACTGCCTTAGCTTTTGTGAGGTTTTTTTCTTGTGTGCTGGAGCAGGATGGGTAAAACTGGCCCTGGTGGGAGCAAGATGCAGTCTGGGGCTTTCAGCCTCACCCATCCATCCCTTGTTGATGCTGCCTCAGGTGGTCCTTGAAGGGGTAGAAATGGGCTCTGGTTTCCCCAGGAGCAGCAGCATTCCAGGCAAGGGGAAGGGTTGGTCCCAGTGGAGGAGCTGCTGCCCTCACCGTGTCCCTTCCCTTGCAGGACAGGTGCCTGAGGAGGAGGCAGGGCAGAACGGGCAGAGCCGCGGCCGGGGGCTGCCCAAGGCCGTGTGCATGAACGGGACGGAGCCGGGACAGCTGAGCAGCAAATCCAAGGCGGAGCGACGGGCCAGCGCCTCTTCCAACCCCTCCCGCAAGGCCTGCTCTGCCAGCAGCAAGATCCGCAAGCTCTCCACCTGCAAGCAGCAGTGAGAGGAGCCCGCTCTGCACAGGTACGGGCAGCCCGGCCCGCGGGGGGGTGGGTTCCTGCTGTCTGCCCGGGGAAGGGAGATTCTCAGCCTGGGAAAGGGTGTGCGTGGTCCTGGATGGAGAGGGCAGAGGTCTGAGTCCTCAGCATCCCTCTGCCAGTGTCCCCAGCACCCAGAGCCTGGATCCCCCATGGTGCTGGGGGGCTGCAGAGCACAGTGCCCC